TGGATCACACACATCGGACATCTTTTAAAACTGTTTCAGACATACTTTTTTAGAAAATGGTCTTCATTTTCTTTTTGGAAGGATATACACATTTCGCTTTATTCCCATGTTTACTTCTATCTAAACGGTTCTGGATGAGGGGGAGGTGATTTGTTTTTGTTGCTTTCTTTGTTTTATTAATAAAAATTGCAGAGTTGTTGGGACAACATGGCGGTCACTAGAAAAATTAAATAATCTGAAAGGCATCAAAAAGGGGCCGGATTTTACACAGACTACCATTTGCTAGGAATACAGTCATTTGTTTCTTCATTATTCTTGGCACTTAAAAAGCAGCAATGTTACCACCATCTTCATAATCTAGGTCAACAGACTAAAAAATTATTTATGGTTTTTCCATCTTTTCTTACAAAAAATGAAGCGACAAGGAGACATATATCAGAGGTATTTCTCATTATCTGAAACTTGTACTTTATGCATCAGCCTCAGGAAGAAGACTCCTACGTCATGCCATTTGTCCGCCCTTCACAGAGTGTGTCTTGTTTTGACTGTTTGACCTGAGGACTACAGAATATTGTTCAGATGGCAGGGCGGTGCAACACGTTCAGTTTAATTTTGTGCTCATCATCAGTTTGTTGGCTTCAAATGAAGAACAGACTGAAGATGGATGCCAGCAGGGACACGATCTATAGAAATCAGCGTGTCATCATTCTGCATGTTCCATATATACATACACTTTAAGCACCCAGCAAAATGTTTCATCATTACCCATGATGCACTGCCCTCAAAACTAATGTGATGCTAACACATCCTGGATCCTAACTAGTCTGTTTGTATTTTGGAATTACAAATACATTCTACAATACTGTCCTGCATATTACTTTATAAATTATCAATATTATTAATATTAATATTATTAAATATATCCCTCAATTTAATTGTAGTTTATGCTGAGGAAAAAAACAATAATAACTTTTCCTTTACAAGAGTTTCTGAAATGAGCATTCATCTATCACTAAAACTTATCATCATCCTTTATAAAAAATGACTGCCGATACTTACTTACTACGATCAGTTCTTGGGCACAATCACAAATATTCTAAAATAACTAATAATAAATAGAATGACACAAGTCACTAGAATACACAAGGGTAAAGATGGAGAACAGAAACATATGGATATTTACAGTGATTATAAATTATCAGTTTCTTGTCTGAAATATAGTATTGTCAAAATACTAAGTCTTTTTCCCACTATATTTAAGCTACTAACAATGGTTTCACTCATTTCAAAAAATAGTTCATATATTTTTGGTACTGTGGGTCATGATAATGATGGGAGAGTTACATGACATGTTTAAACATTTTGAGGTAAGAGAGGGGGGGGATTCTCACTCCAAAAGAGAAAAATGCAACCCTCTTTTGCCTCATGGATTTCTTCCATTTAAAAACTGCTTGTGACCACTCAATGAATTAGCACAGACTGGCAAATAGTTCCAGATACAACATTCATCAGTCATTAACTTATATAAAAAAAGGGGTTCTGAAATAAATATAAATACATACAGTGTCAATCAAATGCACATGCAGTACCAGGGCCCAGATGTTTATGTCCTACAAATGCAGACATATGTACATAATTCAACATGTAAAACTGTAAAATAAGAATTAAAAGTTGCAAAAATAGCCATCACAAACCGTGACATATATCCCCTGTACATTACCATCATCAGAATGGGCAGCAGCCATATACACACAAGAACCAGAACAAAGAATTTTGAAAATTTGTGCGAAGCCACACTGTAACCACACAACTGCAGATGCTCCAAGCAACAAACATCTAAGCCCTGCTGATTGGATTGTTTCAGCAACTGGTGCAAACAGCCACCGGTATCCCTGCTGCCACATTCAGTTCTATATACATTACGCATTTCAGAAATTGTAGCTTAGAAGACCATCCTATGAAATCATTGTTTTGGTTCGAGTGAAAAGCACTTCTTCTTTAAACCTGGAATTGTTGTGAACTCAATATACTGCAAGATGAGCTACAGTGTGTTGACACCACAAGTGCCAAGGGATCACATGACTATCTGATGGAGTAGTCATATTTCCTTTAAATTTACAGTTCATTAAAATGTTCTGTTACAGACATATGCATACATCCCTCAACACATCTCAGTTCTGAATTAGCCCAAGAAACTAAGCGCACAAAGGGTTAAGAATGTGCCCTACCTGGCAGTTATCGTCATTTGCTGATGACGGGGCACTCTCACAGCCCCAAGCTTCACTCGAACCAAAAAGGAAATGTATACAGTTCAGTTGTGTCTAAAAGTGATATAAAAAGTGCAGTCAAAATACGCAACAAAAATACAGAAATGAGATCTGTGAGACTTAGCAACTTAACATTTAATTATATCTATAAAAACAGTTCAGTAAAAAAAATTACCTGGGAAATTGGACTAGCTACGTATTTGGTGACAGACTGTAAGAATGTGGTGTACAGTCAAGCAAGTGTCATGGGGACAAGTGAAGGGTGCGATTGGTTTGAAATTAAAAGATCGTAAGGTCACTTGGAGAGCTGTGATCTCGCTGAAATCACATTGAGATGGCACCAAAATGGCAGGTCACAACCCACAGCAAGACACGACATGAACATCAATGCCCTGAGCATGACATCACAACATATGATTGAAAAAAAATTTACTTTCATGTCCTGTTGATGTTGTTCTCAAGTATTTGGAACATGCTTGCACAATAAACTCAACATTCCCGTGCCTCCATATTGTCGTGTTCTTGGTTATGGCACCAAGCAGTCTCATAGGTGGGTACCAACATATTCGACGAACATACTGCACGCACCTTCCAGCCAGATGATTGTGTGCTTGCACGAAATCTCAGTATCCAGCCATCAGACTCCTTGGGGCCATAAACCAAACCACAAGATGGACCATAACCACAGTGAAATCTGAGACATACACTTCTTTTATTCCTTGGGGTGGGGTGAGACTGAGTCCACTTTGTACGTTGGCCACTGGTGGGCCTATTATACCAGCCCCAAATGATAGCTGAGTATGGAGCATTTGGTGGAATGAGAATTGGCAGGGGAAATTGAAGTACTCAGAGAAAACCTACCCCAGTGCCACTTTGTCCACCACAAATCCCACATGACCAGACCTGGGATTGAACCCAGGTCTCTCCAGTTGGAAGCATGTGATTAACTGCCTGAACTATGGCATGGCTGATACCACACATTGACTGCGAAGTTTTATGCTTATTTATGGGCCTATAAAACTCTGTGGTTTCATCAGTGAGTATGTGGAACTTAGTCAACAGTCAAAAGAAGACATTTTAGGAATTGCTTTAGTAAAAAGCAGAAAGCAAAAAATATGTACTGTCTGTTGTGTAGCACAATTCAGATTCTGTACATGAAACCCCCACAAGAACTTACTCTGCACTGGCCAACCACAACCATCTGCTTGCTTATATGTCGTTAAACACACAGATCACTGGAAAATGTTTCACGTAGGTAAAGGTACATTTATGCCCATGCTTAATTAAGCACCCTGTATGGGGTAGCAGAGCTTTAGCTTCCGGACTAGATGGAAGTGAGTGTTCAGCTTCACACCCCTCAGTTACTTTACCCCCAGTGAGAAAGCCCTGCTTTCTCACTGGATAGGAGGCTGGGTGGGGCCCATAGCTGGTATGGATACTATGCAGAGGACAATATTATCCTGTCCTGCTTCGTTGCCTGTGGCTTGTGGCTTGCACTACCATTACAGCATGTGTGAGGCCCAGCCAGCCAAGCACTTCATTTCTTGAATACTAATGTTGTTACCCCCAAGTTACAATCTGACTGTCAGATATGTCGTTCCTGCGAATTTAAAATTTGTTATTCTCAGGTGATAAAGTCTAAGCTGGTACAAGTCTTATATCACACACTTTTTTTTTTAAATGTCCAATGCTTGTTGTAAGTATATTATATATCCCTAAGACTGAAATACACATTAAGAAGACTAGATTTGCAAAGCAGCATACACTGTTATGGCCTCAACTTATTATCATTACTTTCAAATATTTCTGCAAAATGCTCATAAAAGAGCAGTTACTCTCAGTGTTTGTACTTGATACAACTTACAGAATTGCTGTTTACTGTGCGGCTTTCTGGATCTCTATCCATGACATACATTGACATTCCAATATTTTAGCATACACTGCAATGATCCTGAAGATGGGAACTTTAATACATCCCAGAAAACCAGAAGACCTCAAATGCAGAGCATAGATAAAAGCCTAGCATCAGAATCACAGAGTACACATGAGTGAAGACATCCTAAGCACAGTGTAATGTCCTGTTTCTAATATGCAAAGTAGCCAATTTTAAAATTTCAAGAGGGAGATGACAAATGAGGACACAGCTACACAGCATAACATTATTTTTAAAGAAATCCAACACAGAACATATTTAATGAATGTTAACATATCACTGCTCAGGCAAAGAAAATGGCGCTTATACTGGTGATGTGAATGACAAATGGTAACACTAGTAAGGGACTAGAAACTGGAATACTGTCTTATCTATGGATACAGGTTAAACACATGAGAACAGAGGGTAACAAACAAAATTCTTGCAAGGGCTGTATCAATACCTCTGTCTGTCACTGACATTCTCAAGTGCTAACAGCCATATTCATCTTCACCCTGTTGTGGTGCCATCTCTAAGGAATTCATGTAAATCAGCTGAAATGTGTGTCAGGAGGATGTCATTACTGACACACAGCCAGCGCCTGCTGTTGTCAGAGAGTCAAACCACTCCAGACTCAATTCTCAGGCCTGAACAACAGGGATAGTGTCAAGCCAGGGCGGAGCCCCTGTGATTTTCCCAGTGTCAGAGCACTACCCCGGCATGCTACTTTAATAACAGTGACATCAAACATGGATAAATTATATAAAATCTTATCGTCTGTTCGAAGTGGAAGAATTAGTCTCTCTAAGCAGGCGTGCGTGTTTCACAGCCTAGCATCATGACTCACACTCCAACTAGCAAGTGGATGCCAGGCCACTCAAGGACTTGCATTTCTGGGACTACACCCTTGCACAGTAGTTACAATGTATGTAACAGAATCACAGTGACGAACTAGACCCGAAATAAAACAAGTCAGCAATCGGCAAGTGAGAGGAGGATAATAATAAACGTCCAGGCTGGAAGTGGAACGAGACAGTTCACTGGCTTGACTCTCTGCTGTGAATTCACTGTCAGAAAGAGAAACTGAAAACAAGACTAGTTGCATTATTTCAAGTGGTTTGATATGTCATTAGTGTGTGTAAATTGGTAATAAAATTGTGTGAAAAAACTGATTAAGAAAATAAATAATTACACGAGTAAATTCGTTACATAGGAAAGTTATACATTAAAATGCTAAACTAACAACTCCTCAAAGTGTTGTAAAATTCCCAGATAAAGTCAAGCATTAAAAAAAATCGCTGGGGCATATATGTTTTACTATGCAGTGATGTAAAATTCGTGATGTGTTCTACCAAACTAAACACAACCACACAGGTTCACATTATTTTCACAACTCAGAATTTCCACATAAATTCATCAGGCGTGTAAGAGGTTATATTTTAAGTTACACAATAAAACTGCTGGATGTTGCTAATCAAGAGGTTTCATTATCAGCAACTAGAAGAAACAAAATCATTGACTGTGACACAACATCCTAGAGGAACAGCCCACTTTAGTTCTAAACCATGTAAGTCTGAAACACAAAAAAATCTTGTTTAAATGCTTGGGACCTTCTCTAACCCACTGATGCCTGAATTTCATCAAAGTAATATTTAAAACTTCAGTTTCTGCCTCACAGAAAACAGGATATGTCTCCGCTACAAATTTCAGCCCGATGTGATGTGTAAGGAAGTAACTGCTGTGCATTATGAGAATCATACAGAACACATGAACACATGGTGTGGGCAGAACATGGAGTCTTCTCATGTTAAAGCAGGTGGTATATATAGCTACCTCTGTGCTTTAAAGAGATAAGTGTCACACTTCATGCCCTACTGATGTGTCCGCGAGTACACTACCACAAAAAGATCAAGTCAGACTTACGAGGGGTCACTCGTGACCAAAACAAGTCTGGCCAATAAACTTTTAAAAATAAAAGTTTGTATTAACTCATCTGTGTATCACTTGGATGTAAAGTTCAACTAACTTTGTTCATTTATTTGCTTCCAGAGCACATACCATGATGAAAAATCAAACCTTTGAGTCTCAACTGGGACAATCTGCTGACAGATTTCTGTGGCTTTCCTTTCTTCCTACAAGTACACGTATTGGGAAAGCAGCTCAAATTGGGGCATGCCTACTTTCTTGCACATTCTTTCCATTTCATTGCCCACTTCATGCTGCAGTGTCTCAGTTACTGACACCATTGCTACATAAATAGCAAACAAATAAACAGACTGATTCATTTTACTTCTTGTGACGTGCCAGGATACAGCCTGAGCTAAATCCTGACTGAGGTCAAAATGTATCATTCTAACATATGACAATCCTATGAAAGTATTTATTTTAAAATATGTACTTGCAAAATATTTAATATGATCATAGCAAAGATATGAATATGTGAACATTGTGCCATGTAAGAGCTTTAAAATACTTGGTGCATTCTGACAACTTGCAATTCACAGTGCAAGACGTACATTTGAATCCAGCCTCTGAAATATATGCATATAAAATGTAACAGCAATGAAGAAATCAGCGGCTATCTGGAATAAACATGGAGGGAAGAAGACCACTGGTGTTAACAGGTCTAATTCCTGTGGCAGATAATGACAGCGTGAGCAGGCAGGCATTTCTTTAGAATGTGGAAGACAGAGATGGAGTTCAATTTGAAACTTGGTGCACACGAGCTTCACGCACATGGTGGAAAAAGAGTTGAAACCACATACACACAAAACATGTAAAACATAATAATTTAATAATATTGAACAATGTGGTTAAAGCAGTGATTCTTCTTGTTTGCAATCAACAGGTGCCTGCCTCAACCTTGGCTGGGACACTGGCTATCCTGATGCAAGGATCGGACACAACCGCTTCCTTGCACATTCTTTGCAATTCGGGACTGAGTGATCATCCAGCCATTCGATACTACACGACAGTGTCAAAAGCAAATGAAATCAAATTTCATATTAAGCCAAGGCTCTAACTTCAGGTGAAAGCTGAACTGAACGGCCTGATGACACTGCACAACAGAAACACATCCATACACTTGGACTAGTGGCCACACAGAGGCAACTCTGTGTTGGAAAACGTGAAGGGGCTGAACATCAGTACAATAAATTAAGGAATATTTACAGTGTCAGTAAAGTTGACTTCATCTTTCAAAATCTTAGGTACAGACCAAACATGAGGGTCACACAATCTGTCCACTGAAGCACCCTTCAGTGACCTAGAAGTGAACACAGTACACAGAAAATAAAACTGTCAGCTTTGTACCTGGGAGACCAACTGCAGACAAGTACACAATCAATGACATGATTGCAACAAATATCCATTGCTTTATCTTATGTAATTCTGGAAATATAACCTCTTGCAACACCAAGGACACAGTGTGGGAACCTGACATTGTGCATCATTTGAGGGAAGGTTATTTGACCACCATATTACAATTAGCATGGTTCACTATTGACACCATAACAGTTTCTAAAATAAACTGATTTCAAGCCACATTTGGTGTGCAGGGGATATGTTGGCCCAGTACCAACTACTTCCAGCAATGTCACCACGACACACAGAAACGCATTGCCTAAGCACTGCCAAATGCTATTTCCTTATTATGAGGAAATGTTTAGAGCTCCCTTAGCTGCAACATTTAAAGGAATACCTTTCCTTTGCAGACTCCACTGCAGTGTTGTCACCATTACTACTAATTTCTCTTCTGTTACTTTTCAACAGGCTTACGGTCTGTCCTGAAATTCCATCCATGTCTGCCAACCCCGCTGTGGGGCGGCCTGTCCCGCTCGCGGTCCACATTTCAGGCTATATGTGCAGAACACACCACTGCATGAAGTGGTGTGCTTACCAGGCCGAAAGTGCTGCAAGTAACCTTCAGTTCGGTCCAACGAAAAGAAGGATTCTTAGTGCAGCAGAAGATGCAGCCTCACGAGCTGTGAGTGACAGCCGTGCTGCATGGAGGCTCGGACAACACCCTGGTCATTGCCTACCCCACAGCCCCACCTTCTTGGTATGGGCCAGTCACCATACAAGGATGCATTGGAAACAAAGTTGTCCAGGTGGTGGTCGTGTAGGTTGGGGTTCGCATCAGGAACTGTGATGTGTACGATGGGGGTCGGTCAGCATGGGGCAGGAGGTGGATCAGGTCTGTGACTGAGCCACTGTTACTGCTGCCATTTCCCGAACCATTTGAGCCAGTGTTGCCACCACCTGAACTTGAGCCACTGTTGTTTGCACTTGAAGTGGTAATGCCAAGTTTTCGTAGCCTCATCTTCTCTTCCCACTCGTCCCAGCCGTGTTTAGCTCTATTCAAATTCCGATGCTGATAGAAGACCAAGCTTATTCGAGTTGGGTGCAGCCTGTTGGGACGACGCAGTGCTGTTGTCGCATGCAACTCATGCTTGGCACATTCAAATAACACCGAACCATGGCCCAGAGCAATCGCCACACCTCCCATTTGGGAATCCTTGAAGCACTCTTCATTGTCAATGTAATCTGTAACTTCACCAATAGGCTCTGACCGGGGCGGTTCTGGAACAACAGGAAAGAAAGGTGGGGGCCCATACAAGTCCCAGCGATGTGGGTCCCATCGATGATGGTGAAACTGTCCAGGGTACTGAGGGTGAAACTGGCTCATACCACTCATGCCCTGACAACTGTACGGAGACGAATGATAACACGCTGATCGAGCTGCAGCCTCTTGCTTGGCAGACTGGCCTGCATAGAACTGAGAGTTAAAGTCCACAGTCTGGTATGGATAGTTCATGTTCATGTGTGGAGCAGACGCTGATCGTGAGTCCATATAACTAGCAGCATCATTCCATGCAGTGCCTGGATATGCCTTGCTCTCTGGAAACATGGGATAGCCTCCAGACATGAAAGCACTGTTGGTAGAACCGCAGTAGCCATAGCTTGACGCACAGCTGTTCAGAGAGGAAATAAAGGGGTTACCTGCACTGGCCGGTGAAGATGCTGTACTGGAATTGTAAGACAGCTGAGCAGCTGCTGCAGCTGCATGATAGTCATTGATCTGCTTCACTTCATCTGTGGAAGACCAAGTTGATGACAGTGTTTCCTGCTTAATGGCGCCACATGAGCCCTTTCCTTGTTGTGCCGCAATGTCACGAATCATCACACCACAGGCTCCTTCATCTGCCTCTGAACCGTTCAAGTACACGTTTGATTTTGCACTCTGATTTCCGTTTGGCTTAACATTGTTCCCTGGCCTGCCTCCATCTTGGTCTGAACCAAACCAAGGGACAGTTGAAACAAAATGTGGCTCTGCTAAACCTGAAGACTTTGTTCCCTGCGCGGGTGTGATTGTGCTGCTCTCCTGTGGCCATGACATGGAAGAATCTTTCATGCTACTGTTACCTGAGGAGCCAGTCTGCTGAATGTGGTTGTCCAAAGGTGTTTTTGTAAGGGAACTGTCACCAGGGGGAAAGGGCTTTAAGAAACCTTTACAGTATGTTTGGTTTGAAGGATAATTTAAACCCTGGGCTGCAGTTGTAAGGGACGCATTTGTTGGCCCCACTTCATTTGAAGACATCGGAGACGTATTGGTGCTGCTGCCGCTGTTGTTGTTGCTGCTACTGCTGCTGGAATGAAGGTTTGAAGTTCGAGAGGGGGGTCGACCTTTAGGGATGCGGAAAGGAGAAGCCTGTGTTGGGGATGTTGCGGGTGCCGGAGCAGGTGTGAGAGGATTGTAGTCCCAAGTGGACTGGGGCCTGTCAGGTGTCACCCAGCCTCCCCGACTTGAACCGGAGCAAGAGGAGGAGGCTGATTGGTCTGTAGGAGTCAGAGGCAGCGGTACTGACACTGAGCGTTCAGGAGTCTTGGATGACTGTGGATTATTTTCATGTGGCGTGCGAGGCTGTGGAAGGCCACTGTCACCACCAGTTGCAGGATGCTGCGCTGGAAGGGAGAGGCTCATGGACTGCTGCTGGGCTGGGTTAGGAGGGAGACCACTATTGCTGATGGAGGTTTGTTGTGGGCTGTTCACTGGCTGTTGGGACTGAGGTGAAGAGAAAGGTGATGAGGGGAGGTGCACAGGATAAGGAGACCTCTCCAACTGTCCTGAAACAGCTCCAGCATCATTGCCACTTGAAATGGGGCTTCTCTGCTTGGTACAGCTACCTGCACTTGGAGGTGACGCTGATGGAATCTTGGATTGTTCCGAGCTTAATGAGTTTGGTACACCTGAGTCTGCTTGCCAATTCACTGTTTCCCCCCGTGAAACAGAGGGTTGGGAGATGCCACTTTCCGAAAACAAGTCATTAGAATTACTTTGCTGCTGTGGTTGGCTGTGGTTCGCCTGCCAGGGAGAAGACGGCTGCTGGAACACAAACGGACTAGAAGGAGTTGAAGCCTGGTTGTGTGGGCTTATGGGGGCCAGGCCCGTGGCAGTGGGGCTGTTCACACTGCAGTTATTATAAAGCCCCACTGAGCTTCTACTGACAGGCGACTGAGGGGGATTCAGACTTGAACTTCCTCCCAGGTTTGCAGAACTTGCCACGAGACTGTGGTTAGTTGTGCTATCAGGATCAACCCTCCCGTCCCGGTCATTTGCTGATGCAGCCAGGCCTGAAGCTCCACCACCAAAGCCACCATAATCAGTTGCTCCCCAACCACTTACGTTCCCAGAACTCAAATTTCCACTCACGGCTGTTGCAGCTGCAGAGTTCAACCAGTTCGGTTTCCTGTGGGCTTCAGCTGCCATCCAGGCATGTGTCTGGCTGCGGGGGTGCCCCCACGCAGGTGCTGCACCATTAGGGCACATATCTGCACCACGTGACTCAGCACCTTGGTGATGGTGATAGCTCCAGCCCTGATACATAGATACAGGGCTGTCTAGCACTGTGGATGACACCTGCAAGTTGCCATAACAGAAAGAATGAAGCAGCAAAACTGAGGGAGCCAATGAACATTAGCAATTTCTGGAAACTGACACCAAGCACTTCTGTAGATATTTACCAAAGTTTTTGAGGAACCTACTGCCTCCCTCTTCAGGATAGAAGAAACACTGGTAAATATCTACCAGACTACATAGTGTTACATCCCGAAAGACCTTATATATCTCAAAGGGTGAGTTTGTTTTGCAAACAGCTAAGTGTTATGTAGCAAACTGCGAATAGGTTGGACGAATGTACACCGCAGTATGATTCAATGTGATGATATAGCAAAGTACATTTATATGATGGTGGCTGCCACAACTGTTTAGTAAAATGGTGCTAATTTATCTCCAGCACTGCCTTCAAAATGCTTGAGTTTCCACACAAAATTTTAAAAGGTATATAACATTTGACTTTACTATTCAACTGCCTTCCAGGGATTCTCCTGAAGTCCATAAGATTCATGTAGGCACATAATATGCTGCCAGGGATCAAGAAAACATGACACAAATATCTCAGAAGGACCCCAGTTCAAATACTAGCTCGCCTATAGAGCTTTGCCATGAGTTCACTCAGCTGAGAAAACTCTCAAGTCTTCCTTGCTCATAATGAGCTTCACATTGCATTACAGTGTAAGAGTAAACGCATCCCTCTGCCACACCATGAAGATATACACACACAGGAGTGCAGGGATGGCTCCATGCATCCTTAATTTTGGCGCTAGATGGAGCTGAGTGAACAACTTCACTCTCTACTCATTTAACCACCTCAAAAGGAGCCCCTGGTGGGCCCCACATATTAGCCACTATGCTGAAGAGGCTACTTCACAAGTCCCTGTGATAAAGTGTCATTAAACAAGCATGCGACTGAGGTACCTGTGAACTCTGAAGCTGCGCAGCCTCCATGCCCTCAAGCATCGAGGCCATGTCCAGAGACATAGGGGTGCCCCTATGGTCCATTGCTCCTATGGAGCATGGGGTGCGATGTAAGGTCGCAGGATCCTTCCGTCCTATCACTGCATCCGGTTCGTCTTCCTTACGTTTCTTGCCATGGCGACGACATGGCTGTAATGGCACGGCCCGCACACGCACCTCACATGGAAATCTGCACAATCAATCCATTCAGCACATCAGCAAACATCACTCTGTTATCTGTGTGTCCTTCCTTCCAACTTTGAACCAGCTGACACATCTTCATGAAGCTTGATATGAAAGTTGTGTCACTGGGGGTCACCCCTACATCACGCATTTCAGTTTCCTGCAATCGGTAAAAGCAACATAACACACGCATAAGGCTGTGATGAGGGAGACACACTGGTGCCATTTACTTCGAGGTCTTCACACGATGTATGATAACAGGTAAATTCCGTTCAGTTAAAACTTTTTGTAGAATGTAACATGACAACATGGTGGCTGCCTCTTTAGCTTCTGGTTTGATGTGATAACCAATGACTGAGTACAGATAGGTATACAAATCTCATACAAGGACAGGTCATTAGCATATCTGTCATATGTATATAATTCTGTATGTAAGTCAGCATTTACAAACACGGCACCAATACCACACCTCAAGGTCACCCCCCCCCCAAAAAAAATTATGTATACAGAACCTGCTTTTAAGTAATGAGTCATTCACAGAATGAAATAACAGTCAGAGAGCTGCAAGATTAGACCTTAGCTCTTGATTGAGCGACTGAGGTTAGCTCTTTCTGATGAACCCAGCAGAGTAGGTGTCTCCCAGCCTTGTCACCTGAGGATGGAAATAGCTCCAGTTTCTGAAACATCCTGTTCTTCAGCATTCTTTAGAATACTGGACAATGGACAATTCTCAAAACCCTAGTAAGCCCAGTGATCAATTTAGACAACATAGAGATATGTGGAATTCTGTATGGGACTATTGTACTGTGTTCATCACATCTAGAAATTAATTTTTGTCCAAGAAAGAATATTTCTCAACTGTTCTGAAATATAATTTCAGTGAGATTTAATTTCCTACATTGACAAAACTGTTTTCTATCAATACATAAAAACACTGAGGGCCATCCAACAATTGTGACACAAAGTACACAAAAAAATGTTAGCTACAGATATGTGAAGGATGAAGAACTGTGCCCATTTGCCTGTCTGAATGCCTTTAATCCTTCAGAATCACTCACTTTGTCAAGGTTTCCACAGCTCCACTCTTAACCTTGGCATCCTGCCCCTCCTTGCTCCCGAACTCATCAGTATCATCCATCACATACAGTGGTAACACATGGAGTTGCTCATCATCTGGTTTCGACAGGGCCCGGTTCTTTGTCAGGCTTACCACCTGCAACAATTAATTACACCGCTAGACAAATCTACAGATTTTCAAACGAGAACAGTACAGTTTCTGTCCTGTAGCAAAATCCACCTTCATTTAAAAAGAATTTTATACAACAAGTTTGACAATGCATTTATATGTCTTAAAGATATATGTTAGGTAATGGAAGTGCACACAGCATAACAATTCTGGCAGTACCGCCAGACAGTCAATAATTGCATGCCAATTTCTGGGAAACAAGAATCTTCAGTGTACAATCTGATCAAAATTATTGGAACAATTCCTGATTTATGAAATGACACAGCAAAAAATTTTATTTTGTTTAATTACCTTGAAACCTGCAATGCTTACAGAAAAACTTTACTGGGCATCAAGCATGTGTTACATTTCTCTCTACAACCTTTGTTACTCCAGTAAATACTTTGGGAATTAAGCCTAAGAAGTGTACGTGTATATCTCCATGTAAGTGCCCCTGTTTACATGTTTACAAATTGTAACAAAACTTCCCAGCAGGAAACTTCATGAATATCCATTCAGCAGTTCTCAAGTTGTTACACGTAGACAGACAGGCAGATGTGGCAAAGCTAAAATTTTTAAAGTTTTCTTGTTGTGAGTGTACCCGTAACGTATTTCTTCCAATTTGGGTAACAAAACATTCCACATACTCTTTTCTTCCTAGTCTCTCTTAGTTTCCTAGCGCGGAGTACGACAGATCCATAACTGATAATTCATCAACCCAAACCTGAACAAATTGATCAACTCCTTGAACACAAGACCAACACATTGGGAGCCGACAAGGAACCCACCACGGTGCAGCCGTTGTTCATGTTGTGCAGGTCACGATGGGAGTGTGCACAGAAGTCGATGCAAGCTGTGACACCGGAGAAGGGGCGACCAGGTTTGAAACCCAGCCGACACTCTGATGCCTCTCTCTCAAATTGTGTCTGGTTCTTAAAAGCATCTGGAGCCAGCGACTGGTACAAGGGAGACAGCAGTGTTGCCAACACATGCATTCGCTCTTCCACTTCTTGCTCCTAAAATTTAAAAAAGAAGGAAATTTCTTGACTACCTGAGTGATTATCAGGAAATCAACAGACTGCGCCTCACAGAGGCGAGTCAAGTCAAGGTATAACTCCTCAGTATTTTTTCAGAAGGACATGCTAATGTTCTTTCTGCATTTATTCAGAAGAAACTCAGTGCAGTCAGGTACTTACATGTGGAAATGTAAGGAGTTGTCATGATTTAGTGGGTGTGTGGCCTTAGATTGGGTATGTATTGGACAATGGCTATAGTGACCACTCATACAAACCACTTGGAACTACATTTCACAGATCACTGACATACAGACTAGTGCCTTCAGTGTATTACAGTCTGCACTAGCTGTTTCCTGGCAATGGCTTCTATCAAGGGACATTCTTGCACTCAGGTCCTATCTTCACAGGCCAAGTTTCAACTGACAACTGAACTCTCTCACACACCAACCAGCTACTTCACGTCACTTCACTCAACTGAACTGCTCACAACACGGCAGCTCAGCTGGTGTCCTCATTATATAACCTTGGGGAAAAACCCAAGAAAAAACACTGCCTCCAGTAATCATTCTATTGTTGTCATGGCAGTTGCCTAGCAATAGACCAGATATCATTTCTGCGGGAACATGTTTAGCAACCCGTTGCTTATCCACCTGTTGCAGACTGGGAACAACAGGTTCGGAAAGATATCAGGCAGAAGGAGGGACGAACGTGGGAGGAAAATGAGAAGGAACAGTTCTGAGAATGCAGATAAATGGCGCGGCTTGGTTTCTAGGTGACGCATGGCACACAAGTTGATTCTCACAATAAAGAGTGAATATATTCCAAAACAGCATTAACTGGCTGGTCTAAATCGGTGGTTCCCAAACTTTCTCAGGCCATCGGCCACTTGGTTTCATAAACTCACCCCTAGTGTCCCACTGACCTATAGAAAGCATTCTTCAGAACAGCGATTTGCACAACCCACTAAGGATGATAACAACAACAAAATAAGAGATCACATTTAGTAGCTACTTCACTGTCACTAAATTCTTAATGCCATGGATGAGCTTGATGAAGTGATGCCAGTTTCCCAATGTCTCAGCTAAAGCTGTTTCAATCCTAGACAAGTGAACAATGCACTCAACAGGGCCCACCTCCCATGCCCCCCCCCCAGGTAATCCTACCACCCTCTCCAGGAGGACAGTCCAGCCTGCTTTGGGAACCACTAGCCTAAATGCTATTTACTTAAAGTTCAAACTTCACTTTACCTCTGACCTGACTGACAGACGGAACTTGCGCACGGTCTTGGAGCGCGCATACTTGCAGCCATTGTAATACATGGACCAAGAGCAGCCAAAAGAGAAGCTGGCACCGCACGTGTCTGGGTCCAGTCCTTGACACGCACAGGTCCTGGGTTCGTTGGTTGCACATCTCCGTGTTGTTGGAAGACCATAACGATTCAGTTTGTGAGTTAGCAGGTTATACACTCGGTCAGCCTCATGCGATGGTACCCCATCCCACGCAACCATCACCACCACAATCCAAGCCGTGGGACACTTGTGGCCTTGTCGGTGTTTCACAATGCAAAGGACCTTCTCCTCCAGGCTTGATCGGCGAATTATCTGCGGACGTCATCATGCTTGTAGAAGTTTAAATGCAGTTGCAAGCTCTCAAAGCAACTGTATGCACTGAGATATTCCATGTGAAGACGGAGTTAGTATCCAACATTTCAGAGACTGTTTCTTCTCCATTGCCATTAGATAAAGTCAAGTCACTTGCCGCATCAACTCCTCATGATAGATGTAGAAACATCCTCCGAAACACCGGATACTAACTGCATCTTCAGATGGCTGATCACTGGAGAAATCTTCATTGCCTGTGTACCAAACTACACACTAATCTTGAACGTGCCACAGATCCACACACATGATTCTCAACTCACCCACTTGGCGAGAGGGCAGCCTTGCGTTGTCTTCCCCTCCTTGCCAGTGTACATCACCTTCTCTATTCGCACTGCTTTTCCTTTCAAGCCCGTCCTCTTCTCTATGTCTTTCCTCAGGTCAGTGAGACTTGCTCCTGACCCCAGGTGTGTATAATATGAACCAGGCTCTGGTGGACCTAACAAACACATTTCATCCATTAACAAGATGTTAATGACATCACCCCAGCCTGAAAATGGAGACAGAAGAACTCGGCAAAAAAAAAAAGTTTAGCCCATTCATGGCATGGTGGATCACCTAACATGCTGAAAGTGCATTTATCTACTGCAACAGCTTTGAATATTACACAGAACATTTCCCATCTTGATTTCTTTTTTACTGTCATTCCCCACCCCCCACATGATCCAGAATGTTAATTTATTCTACCATGAAATACTGTGAATATAAAGCCTCTGTGAAATGTGTTGAGTATATGTCTGAAGTTTTAACCACTGTATGCTCTGATGGTGGCAGGGAAAGACACCATATCCTGGCTGAAGAAGAAGCATTTCTGTCATTTTCTTGCAAAAAGAAAACCGATGTGCATTGTCTTACATTATTAGCTTTGCTAACCACTGAAGAGAACAGATATAGGAATGGCAAAAAATTTTGTGGCAGTGATTTCAGAATAATTCAGAACATGTCTCTGCTGGATCAGATCCTTCTGATATACTCGTCAAACAATATCTGCAAAATTGGATTCTGGCTTACAAGTACACAAACCCTATTACCATCTGGCATGAGGGGGCTGAACAGAGACTGCAGAGGGATGTTCTTACATTTGTCAGGCGGGAAACAGTTGCAGTCAGGAACTTCAGCTCGGACATTGTTCTTCAGTCGTTCGAGATGGTCCTGGAACTCCTTCGTTGACATCCCTCCGAAGCCTTTGTTTGCGCTCTGGCAGGCATCTGCAGTGGTCGCATCAGACTGCTGTGGGGACCACGGCTGCTTTGTATCCTTGTTCAACATCAACATCAACAGGCGTTCATAGACTCAAGCTGAAATATGACTTCTCATACTCTTCAAACAGAATCAACCCGAACAGGGCCACAATCCCTGAACTTCCAGACAAATAAACACACTTCCTTGAAAATAAATTCTACGCCATTCCATGGGAAAACAGGCTAGGAAACGTGCACATTGCAGAAAATTTCTGGCACATTCATGCGCTTCTCTCTCAGTACCTTGAAAACCATAAGACAGATGAAAGTTAAGATCTGTGGGTAAAACTGCAGTTCCTGAAATGAAACGTATGACACTTATCGAGATATGAAAACATATTAAAAGGAAAATGGAACTGAACATCACACAATGAGGGGCTTCATTATTTGTACTGCTCACCAAACATGATCAGGATAAGAATCAGATGGATGAGATGACATGTAGCATGCATAAGGGGCATTATCATTTGGCAGAGGATGGGAGGACAATAACAGAACGGATTTTGCAAGTACGGACTGGATTCATCTTGCGGAAAGTTAATAAACTTTCTTGATACATATGAGGTAAGAAAATTTCTTGACTGATTTACTGACCATCAGCCTCTGACATTAAATAACATGGAGAAAATTCCAGTAAATTTAAATACTGTTTTCTATCAGTACATACCTGTTCATCAGCCGTCTGGAAGCCCTGGCAACAGCCGTCACGCAAATGTTCAGGCGTCGGTGTCTCAATACCACCTTGGCGACAACACCAGGAACCCTTAATCTTCTCTAGGGGTATTGGACCTCCATCACCTGCAAACAGGTATGAAGGCTGCTCCTTCTTGACTTTCGTAGACTCTGTTACTTTCTCTGATGGTGTGGTGGTGTGCTCAAAATTCTGACACAAATATGCAGCATTTCCTGAAGAAGCCCTGACTTCATTCCGTGCAGTCATACCGTCAAACACCTGAGAATGAAAACCACTTGCGCCAATCATGCTGTTGGCAACTGGCTTTTGGTTTTCAGTCTTCAGGTTGGTATTACTGCCATCAAAACCCTGCTGACCAAAACAGTTATTATTTGCCATACTTGTAGGCGTAACCTTCCGTTCCTCACTCTTCATTTGTGGGGTACATGAACCATACTCTTGCTGGTATTGGCAGACCCCTGTGGCGACCATTCCCTGTGCTCTGTGATCCTCCACATCCACATCGGGTACCACTGAGCCGTAAGCATTATTCTGGAACTCATTCCTGCTCCCTGGCCCTATGCCCATTCTCTTTTGGAATGATTTGTCATCCACTTCTACAGAACACTCCCTTGTGCACTTAAAAGTGCTCACACCAGTACTTGTGCACTTAAACATCTGGTCTTTGTAACTATTATTATTATTGTTATTACTACTATTGTTATTTGAGGTCATAGACACCTGTTCCTGAGGCAGCATTGGGGAATGCCAATTCACATTAGTACAACTCTGTCTGCCGCTTGATTTCTGCTGGAAGTTTGCAGGAAGTGTATTATTTGGTACAAAATGTTTCACAGATGCACTGGAAGCGGCTAGATCTAGTGATTTGTCAATGATTCCCCCACGATCCTCACTTGCCGCGTACTTGATGAAGTTCTCCATGGCCGAGATGCTATTACCGTCCATGATGTCATTATTCGCTGAGCTGCTCCAATCCCACGGGAAGCCACCACCCTCAGACGTCATTATTGACGGATGATTCCGAGGATGGTGGCCTTGGGCTAAAAAATTAACCTCCGAGGATGATTGGTTGTCTAGCTGCTGTTTGCGTTCTACGTTGGCCGCAGGTCTGCCACCCATCATGCCACTGTGATGACCATCAGATGTCATCATGCGATTTACATTCTGGTTGTCCGACAGCATTCTGTCCACTACGACGCGAGCATCTGATGTCTGTGGCATCATGCTGGACGACGAAGATGACATGTATTGCGACTGTGGCACAGATGTTGATCGCTGCTGATCTCCCGGACTCATAATCTGATGACCAGCACTACCATCTGACGGAGCCGGTCTATCCATGCTCATCTGCTGGTTGTACTGTTGTTGCATTTGATGGTTCATCTGTTTGTTCAGGATCATTGTCTTCAAGCGACTGTTGAGGTTTACACGTTCATAAGCATCACTTTGCAAGCCATTCTGTGTATTGGCCCTGTTGTCTTCGCGGTATATATTGCTCTTGTTGTCGTCTGGCCACATCATTCTGCCATTGCTGCTACTTGCGGACACACTCCAGGGTCCTGTCATTGTATCCCCCATGTTACTGTCTTGGCCTGGATACCTGCACATGACAAGAGGCATGAGGACTGGCACAACAAAGGAAAGAATATACAAATTACAAACCGTATGGCACAACATTGTCCGAGAGGTGGATACCAACATTTTGGAGGAAAACACAGACTCCACACTCAATTCTTCTGTGAAGAAGATGACAGCATGTTCCTCTGGAATGTTGGTTTGCACAGTGTGACAACTCACAAGACCATGAAATGAATCTTCAGCACAATGAAAATCTCACACCTTAAACATCTCAATGAAAGCAAAGGGAGAAGATACTCTCAGAGACCTGAGGCTCCACAACCACAGATGGCCACCTTTCCAAAATGCAGGCCAATTTGTTAGCTTCAAAACATTATGATTTTAAGATAACACTTTCACATAAGTTAGACACATACTACAGTTTGAGGCCTTGGCTCAATGACATAACTGAGATACGAGATACAGTTTGAGACCTTAGCCCAATCACATAACTGAGATAAACGCTAAAGTCTGATCACATAACTCAGACTCAGGTTGCAGTTTGACCTACCTACTAGAGTTGTGTAAACTCTGTTGTTGAAGTTGTTGGTGTTGTATTTGGGGGTGGGGTAGGTACCCAGGCAAGGCGTTTGGGTGACCGGTCGAATTAGGGTTGGCAGTGCTGGAGTTTGTGGGTGTGGGGTTGCTATAGGCAGAGGCCGAAGTCTTTGTCCCACTGCTCAGCACGACACTAGGAATAGATGACCCGTCACTGTTTGTGTCCATATGAACAGAACTGCTCCGACTGGTTGGTGTTGTTGATGGGGGTGGGGCCATTGCCACATCCTGAAAACATTAGAAGGCAATGCTGCTCAGAAGAACTTGCTGAACTTCAAGTTAGATCTGAGGTTCTTCAGGCAGTGAACATGAAGACGAGTCTTCAGGGACATAATGCGGTCAGGTTTCTGAGGGACATTCAGTGATGAGGATGGAAACAGCACAACAATTTTAAGCTCCATCCAGTGTAACCAATTTGTAATTGTTTAAAACGTTACATTGCATGTTTAAATGTTTCTTCAAGAAACTTCCGAGTCCTACAAAAGGAAACAGCTCTACACATGTAGTATTTGAGATTCTTACGTCAGTGGTCATGAAGAATTCCATCTTCTGGGACATAATGTCATGTAGTCTGTTACTATACTATACAAACTTCGTCCAAATTTGTAGGTTAGGTACAGTTTAAATTGGAGTATAAAATGTAATAAATAAGTAAAATGATTAATAATAAAATACTAGATGAAGGCCAATGGTTGCAGTAGTAGCTTAATACAAATTATTTCGATAAGAACAAGACTGTAAAGATGGACGCCACCAGATTCCCAAAGCAGAATAGTGTCTATTTGCCCTCATGCTTGTAAAGCATGTTCGTCTGTTTGCTGCTCTTGTGTTGACGGCTGATTGGTGTAACTGTAATGCACTGCAGAGGCAGATGTAGCAGTCAGAGTGTGTACTGCTATTAATGTCAACCATTAAAACAGAGAGATTGTACATTAGTCCAAAATGTGGCTGCCCACCTATTGGACTACAAACAAGGTGACACTCATTCTTTGCAAACTTATACTGCCATATCTACAAACTGTTGCTCTATTTACCAACCTGAACTGCCTTCAACACAGATCAGGGTGGTAACTGACTGAACTGTTTCACTCCTATTGGCTTTCATTGGACCTGTGGATTCATGTTTATTTATTTACCAGTAGCACTGACTGGTAGGATAATCAGTGAGAAATGGATTGGAAAGGATGGAAATGAAGTTGTCACGACATGAGAAACTTCACTCAGGGTATCCAGTCTCTGGCCTGAGATTTGAACTCAGGTTCTCCTGATTACAAGGCACTACTCACTAAACCACGGCATCAGTCCCATGGCCATGTACTGTTCTGTTCTGTTATTGACAAAGCGAAGTAAGTGGAAAAAGATCTGAAAGGAGACGATTTTGGTGAATGATAAGGCAAGCTTTGGGGTGTCAGCCTAGAAATTTGAAACAGGAGCCTCCTACATCAGCAAGCTCAGTGAACCTCCTCAGTTGAGTGAGCATTACTCACATGGTCTTCTGAACTGAGCCCAACCCTTTCATTGTTAGACTCTGAAACTTCTAGATAGTAGACTCCGCTGGACTTGACAAAGACAGTATGCTTATTGTGACTGTGCTGCCTTTAGGCACAAAACATTTATGCTTCTGCCTGTACCATCGGGGGGCAGTTCAATCAATAATCCAAAATGGCAGACACTTTCTTGCACACAGACTTGACTCAATTGAAAGTCACATCTTATGCAATCTTCTTTTATTATTGATGTAATCAATCTTGATACCAAATTGAGGTGCTGGATCACTTCCCTACATTCATTTCTGGTTGACATGACTGCCAACAGCGATAACCTTCACTAACAACAGGCACTTAGGTTGGTTGACATAGGACAGAGGGGAACAGAAGGGCTGGCAGTTGCACTCTCATCCCCTGCAGCCTCAGAATAGAAGTGCTCAGGTAAGGCAGTGCCATCTGTCTCACCTGCGATGAACTGTAGCCACTGCCACCGTTCACATAATCTCTCTGGTCAGCATACTGTCCACTAGGAGATGTATCCATGTACTGTCCATTCATACTGCTTGTCCGGTGGACTGCTCCACTGTTCACTCCATTCACAGATGCAGAGGAGGTACTGTTGTGACTGTTCGGCAGCCCATTGACAGTATTGCTATTCAAACTCACAGTTCCTGCAAAGAAGGAGAAAGTGTACTGACGGTAGCTTCAGACTGTTTCCACAAGCAGAAGCATCCAACCCTTGCCCAGGACAGGGTTGCTTTCCTGTCAGTATATTGCAGTCTACACATGTAATTCTGATTGCACCCCAAACTTTACCTTACCCTAACAGCCGCAGCTACCCTGCATATTGGCAAGAGTATGCAGTGAATTTTGTAACATGTTTATGTGTTCGTCAGTCTGAACAATTGTGCCCCATGCAGAGGCTTTATATAAACTAACTGAACAGTGCATGATGCTCCCTCAGCAGCTCAAGCTACGTGGCTGATCATGAAATTTGATATAGCAATGAGCTATGGGATGGTAAACCAGGTTCCAATTCCTGGCAGTGGCATGATTTTCTCTTCTTCATAGCATCCAAGTTGGCTCTGGGGGTCATTAGTCTATCCAGTGGGTTCTGGGGGTAAAGCAGACAAGATGTGAAGCTGAATACTGACCTCCATTTAGTACCAAAGTCAATAATGGTGGAGCTGCACCTCCACTTCCCATATGTCTTCGTGATATAGCGTTCAAATAATTGAGCACTGGGACAACTTTACCTTCTTTACGGAACATCTGGACCTAAGAGGGAAGAAGTGGACAGGAGGATGAAGGAAACTGAATTATGAGGAACTTCAAAATGAGTATTTCTTGCCACATATTACAGTGATCAAATTAAGCAGGGTGAGATGAACACAGCATGTAGCATGCATAGGAGAGACAAAAAGCATGCACAAAACTTTACTTGTTAAGAGCAGAATTGACTAAACTGCTTTGAATAGGTAGGCACAGATGAGAGGATTATATTAAAATGAATCTCAAATTAAATACAATGTAAGATTATGGACCGGGGTTCACCTGGCTCAGGTTAAGGCCCAGTGGCAGGCCATTGCAAACACAGCCATGAACGTTCTGGGTCCACAGAAGGTGGGAAATATCGTGAGTACCAGTGCAAGTAACAGTTATGCTGTGGAATGCACAGACGCAATTACCACTGTGTGCAGTAATGAAGTCTGCAAGACGTGACATGTACAGCTGTTGGTCATTCCACTTCGCTGATTCTCTTACATTCCCATTTTCAATGCAGTAAATTCAGAATGAAGGAAAAAAGTGAAAAGTGAAGCTATCCCTGTACCAGGCTGGGAAGGCCCATAGGGCTGTGAGACGTCAAGGCTCCCACATTTTCTAGACAATTGGCTCAAAGATATCGGCGAGGTTGTCGGCCGTGCTTTACTCCCCAGGAATATTCCTGGTACTCATTTCTGTTAGAGGCTGAGTTGACCACAGGACCACAGTCCTGCTGGAAGGATTAGGTCAATTGAAAAAATCCACCTCATCGGGATTAGATCCCGCGACCTTCCAGCTTGTAGCATAGTGCCTCAACCAACTACACTGCTGCATGCCCCCAATCCAGTCCTCATGGAAAAATGGCAGGCCTAGTAAATAAAATCATGTAATGAGGATATGGCAGTGACATGTCGCTGAACACTAACGTACCAGCGTGGCCACCCTGAAGTCCGTTGGCTGAGCCGATGGGCGATGGCTGAGGTGTATGCACTTGTGAGTAACTCCCGCTTCCACCTCTAGGCGTCAGTGGTTGCTGGGCTGGAGACGATGGTGGTCGATTGCCAGGCAGCGCCCCTGCGGCTTGATACTGCTGCTGCTGCTGCTGTTGTTGTTGCTGTTGCTGATGCTGCTGTTGAAACGAAGCTGTTGTGTGCGGCTCTGCAGTCATGAACGCGGTCTGCTGCTGGTAGCCTACCAATGAGAACACACAACACAGCTTTACTGCCCCGCATCAATTTTCTGTCCCATCTGCCTCTTTCTCCTTGACTTAATGGCCCCAGTAATATTTGGTGAGCTTCTCTCTATGCAGTTTTGTCCATCCTCCAGCCACATACTCTCCTCAGCTCCCTGTTCTCAAACGCCCTCCATCTGTGCCCTCTTAGTGTGAGAGGAACAAGTATCACTCTCCTCAGCTCCCTGTTCTCAAACGCCCTCCATCTGTGCCCTCTTAGTGTGAGAGGAACAAGTATCACTCTCCTCAGCTCCCTGTTCTCAAACGCCCTCCATCTGTGCCCTCTTAGTGTGAGAGGAACAAGTATCACTCTCCTCAGCTCCCTGTTCTCAAACGCCCTCCATCTGTGCCCTCTTAGTGTGAGAGGAACAAGTATCACTCTCCTCAGCTCCCTGTTCTCAAACTCCCTCCATCTGCACTCTCTCAGTATGAGAGGAACAAGTATCACATCCATATGAAGCAAACAGCAGGTTCTGAACTGGGGAGCAGCAAACTTTCCCAAACACTTGGGCTCAACATGCTTCCAAACGATCTACAAGTATGTCATGGTTTTGTCCTGCATCCTGGTGATGAGATATCAGCATTATTTCCAGACCAACCTCTTTACAGAACCTACTGACATAATCCTGCCCTCACCTGCTGCTGCTACAGGTGGCTGATGATACGGCGCTGAGCTCGTGTACTGTGGGTGATGGTGATATCGCAGATCATCCAGTTGCTGTATGAACTGGCCTTGCTGTGTCCAAGTGCCTGCTGATAATAAAACATCCATTCTTGTATGACAGATTATTTGGCAAACACAGTGTTGTGGCTCCAGACCAGAATGAATAAAGTTGAGAGTGTCTGTGCTGGGGAACTCCATGCTCTGCTGTTTCCCAGTCTGAGTATGTACTTTGGGTTAAATTTCATGATTTTATTTCAGTCTTTTGCTTTCTATGTGTTAGGTAGGATCTGAACAAACTTGCTGTTGTTCCATGAATGCCAAGAAAATGTAATTTAGTTAAAACAATTTCTAGATTTACATAGTCAAAAACTTTTACTTAAAAACAGAATTTCTGCACCAACACGCATTTTATTGATTAACAGATTTTAATACACTGTCTGGGATAGTATATTATTAGTTTGCAAATAATGGCTCAGCCTATTGTGCATATCTTTCTCAAGTAATTCAAAGAAATTGGTTAATAGCGAAACTGACCTGTAGTTTGACATAACTAGTTTTGTCCCCTTTTTTGTACAGTGGTCTTGCTACTGAAATCTTAAGACAATCAAGGAAGATCCCTGTGAATAGTGGGTGATTATAAATGTGAGTTAATGGGTGGCTCATTAGAGATGCGCAAATTTTAAAATTTTATTTGTAAATCGATCATAACCTGATGAGTTTTTGCTTTTAATCTCAGTTTCAGTGGTTGGAATTGTCTTAATATCAGGGAATTTTCTAAGAAATGCCTATTTTAGAAATGAAATGGCATTATTTCTTACTTCTTGATGCAACTTCAGTTTCATTAATTGTCATAAAAAAGTACTGAAGGCATCAGCAATTACTTCTGGGTCCTTTATTTCTTCATCATTCTTAAGAAGAGACAGTATCTGTTCAGTCAGATGTAATTTCCTTGTTTCAGGTTTTATTATATTCCAATCGATTTTGCTCTAAGCCTATAGTAATGCTGCCTTTTAGCCTCTTTTATAACTCTACTCAGGATTTTGTAATAATTAATGTAATATACTGTCACGTGTGGATTATTACTGCTCCTGCTATATATATACAGGCACCTTTTATGTTTGCAAGATATTTTATTTTTTTGTGAAATCCAGTCGCTTTTTATTCTACCTACAATTTTATTCTGAATAGGAAAACAATCTTCAAAGGTATTTCGAAAAAATATGTATCAAAAAAAGGATTAAACTTTTAGTTTGTATCCTTAGTTTTGAAACAGATTCCCCCACTTCATGTTCCAACAGATGCTGATATTGAGCAGTGGTTCATTATTTATTTTTCTGGTTTTCAGTTTCAAGGGCATTCAATTTACTTTTGTAGTAATATTATTTACTGCACGGAACTGAGAAGTGTGGTCTGGGAAGCCACTGACTGCAGAAGATGTAGGAGAGCTCAACCTTGCACTGTCTATAAAAATATTATCAATGGTTGCACATGGGGAATTTTGAATTCTTGCTGCAAAGGTCACAGTGTGTGAAAAATTGTATGTTTTTAGTGAAGATTTACTTGTTTTTCTCGTGTGATTTTCATTGATATAATTTATGTTTATGTCTCCATGGATTATAAACTCAGATTATGGATTGTACAGATATCTCAAAGTCTCATTTAGTCTGACTGCAGATTCATATAATTAGGTTAGATGTTTTAGTTACTAATTTAACTGCATAGATTTCAAAGTCCTGCTAATTTCAGTCATGATACAAATCAATTTTAATGAAATGTTGATCTGTCCTACTAAAATACACACACCTTCTCTCTGCAGGTCTTTTCAGCAAAAGCTGAAGCCTAACAGGTAATAGGTACACACAAATAACTTTAAGAACATACCAACAGCATTTGGATCTGCACCAGGCGCTGGATGCCACACCGAGTTCGGGAAGCGATCTCTGAGTGGAGGGGCAAATCCACCTGCTGGATCAACCATACCACCAGTTTGTGGGGGCAGAGGCCCCGTGTTGGCTCCATAGAAAGGCATCACTGGAGGAGCCTGCAGTACACAAGACCAACAGAATAACGCACTGGTTACCCCTAAACATGGAACAGGGCAGATACACAAAGACTCACAGCAGGCAGAAGGACAGAAAACAAAACCAGGTGAGAGAGAGAGAGAACAAGAAATGAAAACATCAGAGGATACAAAAGATAAACAGTATTGCGTTCTGGAGTGCAATGCTGCGTAGTCTGCTATAAGTTACACTAATGTTTCAGAGGAATATACTGCTTCCATCTTCAAGATCAAAGAGGAAGCAGCAAGCAGAGGCAGCCAAGCATGCGAGATCTGGAACGGAGCCACAGAGAACCAAGAAGGGCAAGAAGGGGCCCCACTCTGCTTGTTACTTTCTTCTTGCTGGTGGCTTGTTTAAGTTATTCTTCAACAGTGAAGATGGAGGCAGTATATTCTCCGCAACATCGGTAGACTTGTACCGGACTACACGGCGTCACTTCTCAGAAGAAAGTACTCTTAATAATCAGTGCCACGAAAATCTAACATCCGTCAAATTTATAGATAAACTAATAAATGTTCAAATAAGACAGTGTGGCAGCATTTTGAGAATGAATTCATACAGAATTGGAAGCAAAGTTTCAAACAAGACCGTGGAAGGAAAGCGCACAAGAAGAATATCAGAACTAAGACGGAAAAAACATATTAGGAAAGATGTCACAGAGGAAATTTCATGGGCAGAGGTTGGGGAGAGGCAGCTTTGGGAGGACAGACTTTGTTGCTAGGAGACTCACTTAAAGAGGAATCGTCTAGGGAGGAAGATGCTTTCTGGTTTGCAATTCTGTGACAGGCCTTGCAAATTTATGAATTGCAATGGATGGAATCCTATGTTTACAAGTGTTGCGGCACGGTAAGAAGCAACCCTGTTCAAAGCACTTCATATGTTTTTACAGGCAATGTTTCATAAATACACTGTGTTGGGAAACTGGAGAGTCCTTTGTTAAACCAGGCGGTACATATAGTGACCAGCATGTTTTAATGTGTTAAGAATACAGGCAGAGACAAATGATAGTTGATATTTTGATACTGGATACAACAAAGTTCAGAAGGCCAACATAAAACTGGAATCAACAGAAGAATGAAGTTCAACCTAAAATGCCCACAGTGGAAGGCCTACTACACGCACACCTACACATATAATGACCAGAGGTCAGTGAATGGCTGATTCCCGAGCACAGTCCATTGCTTTCTTCAAGGTCAAACAAAGGTGCTAACAAAACAACTTAAATATGGATGAAACACTTTGCTATGTTCAAAACATGATTTGACTACATTTTACTTCAAAAGTCTGAATTTTAGAGTTCACAATACCCAGTGGATTAGATCCAAAATATAGTTTAGTCCTCTAAAGCAAAGTGGTAATTATATGCACCACTTGTTTTGCCAATCAGATACTCCGAAGTTTCTCCACACAGTGTATTTGTGTGTTCTATAATTCTCACAATAAATAGTGACTGTTTCTCCAAACAGCATTAACCAGTTAGTCTCGGTAGCGGAGACGTAATGTGTCTTCTGTGTACATCCACAGGAACCTGCTCCTGATCCCGTTCCTAAGCCAGATAAATCCACTCCCTCACATGCAATTTGTTTAACAACCATCTTAATAATATTACATCTATATCAGGGTCTTTAAATCTGTATCTTCCATTCAGGTTTTCCTATCAGAACCATGTACACACTTCTCACCTCTCAAATGCTTGGAACATGAGCAACCCATTTCATCATCTTTGATTTGATCACCCTGATAATATGTGGCAAAGAGTGTAAATTGTGAAGCTCTGTATCAAGCAGTTTTCGACACCCTCCCATCACTTCCTCCCCCTTATGACCAAACGTTCCTCTCAGCACCCTGTTCTCACGCACATGCAGTGTGAAGGACCAAGCGTAGTTTTCCATCTTTTAGCCGTTTACCAGATCGGCATGTTCCTCTGTTAGTGAAGTGCCTGGTTTGAATCTCTGCCGGATGCCGGTATCCTGACTAGGTCTGTCCCTCCAGATAAATTCTGTGACAGCGCCTTCAATTAGGGCACAACCGCCCCCTTCTGCATTCCCTCCAATTAACGATTCGCTATAGCCCCGCCATTAGACACTGCAGACCTGTGGTTTGCTTCGTTAAGCCCACTACAAACAAACAGATCAGTTACCTCGCGGAGTAGACAGAGTGGGAACAACCGCCCTTCTGGCTGGGTCAATCTGACCTGCAGGCGACCCCAGGACTACTGTACTCTTTTGCTGGAGCTTGGCGCGTGGCTTGATCGGAGAGTCCACCCTTGACACCGTGCGACCCGGAAACAGTGGGAGGGGGCAAACGAGAAGGTAGAAAGGTCTTTTGTCTCGGCGGTAGCAGATCAGGGGCGATGTGGGTTAGAGGCAGGACATCACGTCTTTACAGCGCAGGCATTGCTACCCCGAGCGAATGCAGAGCACTGGCCTCCACTGCACATGTCTTACACTTTGCTATGTGTCTATCTGTATATCGCCCCATTAATTCTTTAGGGTTATGAGTTCACCTTACTGCGTGTCTGTCTATCCTACCCAATTGCTTCGTTTTTTTGTGAGGTTCGTGTCGTATCAAAGGAAAGCAGTCGATTGGTTCTTCCCATGAAAGATAAGGTAACAGGTCATCAGGACCAAAGGGTGGTGAGACGTTGAGGCTCCCACATTTTCTAGACAAACGGCTCACAGATGGCGGTGAGCTTGTCAGCCTTACGCGCCGGTCGCCCTTCACCCCCATGAATAGTGCTGGTACTCGTTTCTGTTAGAGGCTGAGTCGACCCCAGGGCCATAGTGCGGCTGAAAGGTTTAGTTCAGTTGAAAAATCCAATGACATCGAGATACGAACCCGCTACCTTCCGGATTGTAGCATAGTGCCTCAACCAAGCACGTCACCGCGTGCCCCCTTAGTCCTGCCCGAATGCTGGGATAACGGATGAATGATGAATTGCAACGGAAGTGACCATGACGCAGTCGAAATGCCCAGAGGTACTACATGTTCACTCAGATTCAGCGTAAGCCTGGTAATTCTGCCGGACCTGGTAGCTGCAAGCGCAAGTCGGGCGTGCCGCAAGGCACTCGTGTTATGCAGGATGCAGGACGGTTCCGGAGCTCGGCGATATTCTGGAACGTCGAACTGGCGAAATGTGTCAACCGTATTGCGTCCTCGAGAGGAACACTTTCAACACGCTGATTAAACAAGCCTTTGCTCTGTCGCAATGGTGTTTCTCACCTACTGGTTCACGACCCACGGACAGGCCGCGAAATATTAGAAGCCTATTAAAAAAACCGGACAAACAGAAGACAGCTGTCTGACCGACCGAGCCGGACGGCTCGCATCGTCGGGTGTGATTAGAGGTGACTACTAAGAATACGATCTGCTGGGATGTGACGCCGTGTAGTCTCGTAGGTAGGGTACGACGTTTCAGAGGAACCTCCTCACTCCATCTCCTTAATCCAGTCTAAAGATGCAGTGAATAAGTTAACCCGAAATGTTGGTACGAATCTACCAAATTTCATAGCTTCACATCCCACATGCCGCAAATGCGCGAAGGGCGGTCGCCCGAGAATTATGGTATTTACGTATGTTTAACCCCGGGGGTCGCGCGTTTGAATCTCGCTTGGGCAGAGGGAGGCGAGGTAGGACACTTACAGTGGGCTGCTTTGCCGCACACAACAGCACGCACAATTACGCGCAATCTACGCAGAAAACCGATAAAAGAAATTTCGTTAGTTTATTTAGCGACGGTGACAGTAGCTGACGCTGTCAAGTAATTACTGTATAATGAACTGCCGGAAACGAAGCAGTGTCCTGCCGCTCGGCAAGACATACGCACTTCTCACGTCCCTATGCGTGCTACATTCCCCGTCCGGCCTCCATAGCCAGGCACCAGAAGAGGAAGGACCAATCCTACCCCAAAAGTTACGTACGGGCCAAGCAACCTGGGGGCCTCATATCCTGAGGTATTCGCCCTCACTGTCTTACCTAATGCAAGCAGGAGTACCCGTTCTTCGCCCGGGGCACAGCTGCTTTCCTTGTCGCTGTCAGAACATACAGTGGATTCAACCTTGACGAATGAGTAACATTCGAATTATGAAATCTGAACTCAAGCTGTCACAGGTCGGTCGGAAAGCGACTACTTCCCATATGCACGGTTCCAATTGGATCAGGAATGCGGACACAGACGGATGCAAGGCTAATTAAAGTGTGGAGGCACCTGAGGAAAATGTCTAATGCTACACAAATCGCTAATGGCGAGAAATCGAAGCCAGGGATGTCGCAATATTACTGCAGGTTATCCTTACCTATACGTGTTATTTGTCTGAAGAAGATTTTACTCTGAAGATGGAGACTGTAATGTACATCGAAGCACAGGAAACAGTCTCAACACACGACACGATGACACTCGTACATAAAATCGTCAGTAAGGAGTAACGAGGGCTGACGTGTCCAGTCAGGGGCGCCAGTTCGGCTCAGGGATCAAGTGGTACATCGCGACATATTTCTGATGTGTTGGCAACCATGCGCCCTCCAGTTTCCGTCCGTCCGCGTGTAACACATCGAGAACTGCTGGAGGGGGTTTACACGAAATCTGACATTAGGGGGATTCGCTCAGAATCGGCAAATTTCTGAAACCCATAAGACGCCTGGCCATGACAACGCTAGTCGCATGTCTGCGCCAAAGAGGGCAATACGACCCTACGACAGACACATAATAAAACGCATTTGCTCCACACTCTGACAGCCGAGGTACGTCTGTACACAACTTTGAATAAAAACGAGTTCTTCACGCGGGCCGTCCTTCGAGCTCTTCGCCGAACCGAATCGAGAGCCCATGTCAAGGGCAGTCGAAAGTTGAGCAAGTTTCGCCAAGTCTGGTCGGTGCCCATGTGCATTCGGAAATACATTTTGGCAAATGAAAGGTTTTGCGGAAGATGCTCCAGCCAGGATACTGAGTTCCGGGCAACAATAAAGCAACAGACAGACGTCT